GGGATTGATATTGTGATGAAGAGAGTGTGTGTGCAAAATTTTGGGTCATACAAATACCGCAAACATGATTTTCTAGAACTGTCGTTGCATTATACTATGATACAACCGTTGCATGAAATCACTGCCCTTTAGAGAGTCAATGATACCTCTGCAACTCCTTGAATGTTGAAACGTCGATGATAACCATCCCGATCAATTGAGAGGCCATGGAAACCCCGAAAAGCACCAACTTCAGGATAAGGAGTTGGCCTACCAGTTCGCCCGTTCTCATTTCCATAATTTGACCTCTCATAAGAGCTGAGGCAAAGAGTAGGAGGATCACTTGGAAGTGACCTAGGTGAATCAAATGGAGAATCACCATTAGATGACTCTGGTTCAGTTGGAGCGGCCGTAACTGGTTCCACTACAGAAGGAGGGGTATCATTGTAATTGTTAGATAATCTTGTAGCCCTACTATCCCCAATTGTTGTTGCCCTCCTAGTTCTAACTGAAACACTGGGACCCCTATTTGAAGAAGACCCATTTATCCCTCTTCTTGGAGCTCGAATAGAAGGTGGGTTTATTGGAGAAGAAGTCTGGCCCGAGGAACTGCCTCTACGATAGCCCGGAATGGACAGAGTTCCCCCACTCTTTCCTCTAAGAGATGTGCTCTCATTGACACTGTTATTTACCACATCTCCCCTTCTACTACAGCTGGGATCTGAAGAAGAACAACCAGGAGGAAGCACATAAGAAATTGAAGCACAACTGAGATTTTGCAGGCCACATCTTTGTGACCCAATTCCATGGATTTTATGGGGGGTTTTATCAGTAGCCTTGGACCCACTTTTAGGAACAAGGGAACATTTTGAGACCTGTTCTCTGCTCGAACTCCCCGAACCTGTGTCTTCAATTCTCTGTTTTTGAGTTCGGTTTCGGGCTTGAGGGGCTGTCGAGACGGTATCATAAACATCTCTGATTTCAGATGCTGGTTCCTGCATCTCTTTTGCAGTAAGTACAGGCATTTCCCTTCCTTCTGGACTGCCAGAGCTAGAGGCAGAGCTTCTTTCTTTATTTTGTGAAGATATTTGATCTCCTTGATGGGGCTTTTTGAGGTTGGTTCGATAGGAGAAGGGTCTGGATGAGCTTCCAATAGTGGGCTTCCCACTTGAAGAGCGAGAATTGGTGCCAAAAGATTTGCTTGATTCCATGTATTTGAAGCTACTACTACCTTCGGTAGAATAAACTCTGGCACTGCATCCAAGACGGTTACAACACTGAGCATGTCTTCCTTCTTGATTCACATCTTTCAAATGAGGGCCAGAAGGCCCCTTTCTAGAGTCCCCAACCTTGCTTGTGCTTCTTCTCTTGCTTTCGATATAATCCATGTGAGAAGAATTGTGACTTAAAGGATGGCTTGATAAACCTTGCTACACAATCCGGCGAGAGCAATGAAATTATGATATGATTATCCATTGCATATCCATCAAGCAAATATTTAAGATTCACGAAGGAATTATTCATTATGAAAGCAAGCAATTAGACATACATTACAAGAGGTATCATTATATAATAATCACTTTTAGATGATGCCTTTACCTATACCTACATGTCCTCATGCATAATGATAATGTAGACTGTGAATGAACAATTATATGTGCATAATAAGATGAATAAATTTTATTTTATTTTTATAAAATTCAAACTATAGACATCGACAGATTAGAGGTGATTTTCATTTCAGAAAATGAGACTCAAGCACAAAGGCTTATTTCCCTCTGGCACTTCCTCACATCAGATTTCGTTTTAAATTTTGATCCATGCGTTATGGATGCCAAAAGCGGTGAAGCACCGCACTACTAAGGTTATAAACCATTTTCAAAACAATAATTAGGGCCTCATTGATTCTCAATGGATAGGCTCCATGACAATTTACATGGCTAGAAAATTCCATGTTAAGATTGACTAATTAATTAGGATCCAGCTTGGGCTTGAATGGTTAAGGTGTTGATGATTGTTACACTATGTTCCAAGTTCGAATATTATCACTAAACGAGCCCTCAAAGAAAAAAAGAGGATGATTAGCCAATTTTCTTGACAATCTGTTCTTCCAATCAATAAAATGTTTTCAACTCTGTCCTTCATACATTAGGTTTTCTAGTTTGATGATTTCTATCAATGACCAGAAAAATGGAAAAAGGATGAAGAACTTATAAAAGTATAAGCAGTTGACAGGAAACATGCTCCGATTGGTATCTCATTCAATAGTTATGGGAGCTGTCCACCTAATCGAGTAATTCAAAAGAACAATATAATATATGCTTTTTAGTAAACTATGGCCAAACCAAATGTTGAAGAACTTTTATAGCTATACAATTGAAGAACTCTATGATTTTCCAATGAGTTGCAACACTCCACTTGAATGCCAAATTTTTTGGGTAAAGTCACTTGAATGCAATTTATTGTTAAAAAATGCGATATTTCTCATATGAACAGTATATTTTCCAGTACTTAACAAAAACAATCCAATATGCATTCTTACAATACTCAATATATAGAATAAAAAGCATGGCCAAATAAAATATGACTTTCCACAACTGTCTTTGTTTCATAAGCATTCTGACAACGATACGTCAGGCTTGTTTTCAAAAGTTCCGAATTCGATGAATCTTGCATAAATTTTCAATTTAATAGATATCTCGATTGGAAGGGATCAATAGTGCATCAGAAAGAGGACATAGGTGGATTCGAGAAAGGCACCAAAAATTCAGTTCATTCAAGACACATACATAAACAGATAAAAAAAGAAGTATGAAGCAGTGCGACGGGACTTGACTGAGTCCACTTGGACTCGGCTGAGTTACAGACACTCGCACTATGGGCACATAAAAAAATTCATAAAAAGAGAGTAGAAAATATAGATATGTTATATAAATTCTACATAGAAGTTATTTTTATATGATTTGAATGTATTTTGGCAAAGATTGGCTAGTGTTTTTTTAAGCTTATTTTAAGTCCCGGCACACTTTTTTAAGCTTATTTTAACTTTTTAAAGTTGTTTTAGGTCTCATTTTACTTTTACTACATTTTTTTTCAAATATTTCCTTTTCTTTTTTTTGGTTTTTTAGGGCCTTTTGGCGCAAAACACGACTCAGCCGAGTTGGCCGAGGTGAGTCCTGGCACACCGGTATGAAGTGTGCCTTCTCACAAACATAAATAGGTGACCCCACAATGTATACCAAGAAAAATTGACAATATTCAAAATTTCCAAAAAAATCAAGTCCCTCCCTCTCCCTTCTAACCACAAACATAGCACAATAATAGCAACAACAAGAAACCATGACAAAATAACAATACTACAATTATAGCAACAACAAGAAACCATGACAAAATAACAATACTACAATGAAAGCTTATTGATGTAAGCTAAGAACTACAAGAATTTTGCCTCATCAAAACAACTCCTTTCTCTGTATAAAATTCATCTCATAAATCATCTAAGTTGGACGTCATGGGTTCCAACATAGCAACCAGAAACTGAATAAATCAATAAAATTAAAGCACCAATTCACCAGAAGTCCAAAACAGAAGTAATCCTGGATATGTTACAAGAATCCATACTGCGAAAATTCATTAATAATATAATGATGATGATAACAAATACACTAATATCAAAAAATATTGAGAATAGCGATAAAAATAACGATAATATGATAATATCAGAAGTTAAACCAGAAAGGAACAAACCAAATCATATAAATTTGATACACCATAAAAAAAAAACCCAACAAAAAAAGGGAAGGTTAAGAAAACCAACATAAAACGCTTGAAGAAACAATAAAGATAAAATCAAAAGCTGATTGATTTAGCAGATTTTTTTAATAACCATCTAAAGACTGGAAAGAAAAACCCAAAAAAGTAGAGAAAGATAAAAGAACTTATATCAAGAATCCTACCTGTACTAAAGCCGAGAAATCAGCTCACACAATCATCAAAAGACAATCTTTCACCTTTTCATCAGAAAAAAGGAATTGCCCATCCAAAAAATAAATTGCAAAAACATAAAAGAACTCATCCTCCTAACTTATCAAAAGACAAGAGCAAGAAAACCAGAAAAAAGGGGAAAAAACCATCGTTCCATGAATTAAAAAGCTTAACAGACATACCTCTTGGTTACCTTGAAGACGAGAAAAATTAGAAAACTAGAGAGAGAGAGAGAAATTGACCACGAAAAATAAACTTACAAGAGAGAGAGAGAGGGAACGAAGGGTGTGGAAAAGCCGTGAAGAGTACGCCAAGAGCCAAACAAACAAAAGCAGGAAGAGAGAGAAAGTTTATTTAGAGAGAGAAAGAGAGGTAGGAAGAGTAAAAAAAACGTGCCTTAACCCAGATCCGAGGCTAAGACTAGGGGCAAGGCTTTGACGAAGTGACGCGATCTCTACCGTTCGTTGGATGGCCGCCTTCGTCGTCGGACTGTTCGATTTCCAGGGGATTCGTGATAAAAACGGAACGGCTGTGCGCCTCTCTCTCTCTCTCTATTTGTGTGGTACAGTGCGTGGTGTTAGAGAGAGAAACATAAAAGAGAGAGGTGTTTGGAGAGATAAAGAAAGGGAGTTAGAGAGAGAAAGAGAGGGGTTTAGAGAGAGAGAGAGAGAGGGGTGGGGTCACGCAGACGCGTTCAGCCGCTTGCCTTCGTGGACCGCATGTACTTGAAGCATACAAGGCCCCCCCCCCCCAAAAACCCTACTCTCTCTCTCTCTCTCTAGATTCTAATAATGGGATCAAGTGGAATGTTAGGATTGTTCTCAGCCGTTGGATGTGAAATTTAACGGTTTGAAATTCACGACAGGGAACAAGAAATTTTGTCTTACTTTTGGTGTTTTGTACAAAAGTAATTACTATTCATCGAAATGGGAAGGAAAGGTTTCTAAGAGTCCACCGGCTCATACATTTAAATATGGTCTCTTTTTAAAATCTATTTTAGTGTTAAACTTTGGAATCAAAATTTTAGGGAATGAATATCTTAACCTCGATGTCTATGAATTTGAAAAAATAAAAATATATTTTTTAAATAAGAAATTTTTGGATAGACTTCTATCACCGCTAATTTCAATTTTAGATGTGACAACCATTTTTCAACGTCTATATTGTAGATGGATGTAGTCCGAGGACGCTATTGTAGAAGTGCATCTCCTGATGCACGAACTACTTCACAAATAGGAATTGTATAAGGTACGATAGTGGATGCAATTTCTACATTGTTTAGGCCTTACGGAAACAAAAAAAAAAAAAAAAAAGAAAAGAAAGAGAGTAAAGCCTCACTTTGAAACCTCGTCGGGAAAATACTTTGGGGAGCTCTAAATTTAATTTCTATTATCGAATGTCAAATTTGTAACTCAAAATATGGTACAAGTCTTGTGAAACTATAAACACTAGAAAATAGATGATACAAATAATGTGCTATAATATAAAACTAATTTAGGAAATAAAATCTTAATTTTTTCACAAACATAATATTCAAGGTCTAAATAATCGATTTCAAGGTTTAAAGATGCTGGGACCATAAATTTTGGTGAATTTTGAGATAAGATTTTTTTAAGCGGATTTGTCTTGTAAAAATCACCCCTAACATTCTTTCTTTTTCTCTTTTTTTTTTTTTTCTTCAGATTTTGAATATGGTAGTGATCCATCAACTGCCTGATGTCACATCTAACGGCTAAGGGATTATAACCTCTTGTACCAAAAATAAACAGTCCTAATGCATTTGTTTTCTTCTAAAACTATAAAGACCCTTTTTTTTATTTATTATTGTTCGAAAATATATTAGTACTATGTAAAGTAAGCAAACCCTTTTAACACCCACACTCCCAAATTGTTGGGATTAAAATCTAGTCCCCCCCCCCCCAACTAGAAGTTCTAAATATAAAGGAATTAGATAATTTTCCGGACCCATGCTCATAAAAAGATAACTTCTCCTGACTCTTACCAAAACTTCTGCAATTTTTGAGAACACAAGGAAACTTTCCCTAATAGTCTCTCATTAGAGTCCAAATGTATTGAGATTAGATTATCAAAATAATAGTTCTAAGTTCTCCCAAGTCTTTATATAAGGAGAGCTTTCTCTTGCCTCTATCTCTCTGTAACCCACCCCCTCCTCTCTCTCTCCCCTTTAGGGACTCCAATAGAGGAAGACAAACTCTGAAAGTGAAGTTAAAGCTCCACATTTGCAGAAAAATTGGCAGTCAGCTAAGAAGAGGGGGTGCTTTAAAAAGGAAGTATTTGTCAGTTCATAGCTTTCTTTATTATTTAGGGTAGGAAGAAAGGGAGTTTGTGGCCATGTGAAGTCCTTCATCTCTCTCTCCCCCCTTCTCTCTCTCTCTAATAACAAGTTGTATCAGTTTTCTTCAATTTTGAACATCTATATGAAGTTGTCAATAACACTACTGGGCTGTCGATGGGCAAGTAGGCCTGACCTAGGTTGAGCCTAGCAGGCCTAGGTTGAGCCTAGGAGGCCCGAAATGATTTTCGAGATGGAGCTTGGGTCAGCATGCTGGTCTAAAAAGCATGAAGAGTTGACGACCACAAAAGAAGTTTGTTGAGTTGGGTAGACAGTCAACATAAAATTTTATCAAAATTTTCAACAAATCTAGGTCAACATAGTCCAGGTCAACATGGATCCCAAAAACCTCTAAATATATATTACATATGTTAAATAAAACTTACAATCTTATATTTTCATGGAGCCCAGCCAAGCCAAGACCCCCCTTTTTTGGGCAGGCCCAAGCCTACCTTTCTTGCATTTCGGCAAGTCTCAAGCAAGGGCTGGCCTGGCCTATTGGCAGCCCAATACAATTGTACGTTCTTAACCTATAGAAAGAAGAAACATGTTGGGTTGTACCTAGTTTAGCTAAGGTGTCTGCCCCCATATTGCACGGTTGATTTATGAGTAAATTGAATATCCTTGATTAGTTATTATAGCACAAACACTTTAGGAGTCGCGCTTGTGTCAAGATTGTAACAACTGGGTTTTCATAGCACTACGTTTCAAGTTCCATTTCTATTTAAATTTGCCAAAAAAAATATATTATAGGGCACACACACTCTCTCTCCTTTACTTTGGTTTGATGGGTTGGGTAGGATTTCAACCCAATACATGGTATTGGGGCCATTACACCTAGACCACTCAGCCTTGGCATTATCTCCTCTTTATAGCCTTTTGTGAGTTGTTAAAGACTTAAGAGTTTACAACTTATAGTATTGAAATCAAGATATAGATTACTTTCTAAGAAAACCTTCATCTGGGACCATCTGGGAGTTTCACTTATAAGTTCTCATTTACACTTATAAGTTCTCATTCAGTGTTATTTGATTTGGAAAGTATATGCAACAAGATTGTTTACCTTTAAAATGCCGCAACTATCCGCAGCCATTTGATGAGAAATCGGGTGGTTGTGAGTGTGTAATTGATCACGCTATTTATATTTCTCAAATTTATGCAATTGATCATGCTAATTTTTATTTCTCAAATTTGAGAATTGATCATGCCAGTGGTCCAATAAAATTTTTCTTGGACTTTGTCCAAACCCCAGCAGCCTCATTTCACGTGAGTGAGTATGACCTTCTTATACTAAATATAAATAATCTTATAAAAATTAAATTTTCTTTTGATAATAAAAATGTATAAGAGTGTTTACCTCTTTAAAAATAAAGTCATTATCAAAGTTGGTCATCATATGTGAAATTAAGTGGTCGGGAGTATACCATTCACTATATCCTGAATCTAGAAATTGTTTTTTAGATTTTGCACTGAAAAAAAATCGATCATGCCAGTGGTGCACTTCACTATTGTTTTCTAAGCTGTCATGCTTGCTAATTTTGTGATTTTTTTTTTCATAGTTTTTTAGGGTAAATAATACTCATCTCATCATCATCACTGTTGCCTTTACCCAATTAATTTGGGTTGCCTACACGCTATTCTACTTCTCCGTACTTCCAACTTTATTATTTGTTGTAATTAGTAGTTTTGCATGCTAATTTTCTGATATTCCATGGTTTTCAAGGGCAAATAATATTCCTGTCCTTTGTTAAACTTATTTAAAAGTGAGACCACACTGTAGAAAGTGAAGCCCACCAATTGTATTGAATTTTATGAAATTTACCATAAAAGAGGAGCTAATCTTTTCGTGTTACTATATTTATGGTGGGCTTTGATAGAAGCATCTCTCGATCACTAATTCACTGTCACCTCACTGCATTTTATATGTTCGACCAAGTCAATCGTTAAGATACACTTTATAAAAAAGACAATGTGACCATCTACTTTTAGTACAAGATGGTGACAATTAATCATGACCACTAGATGTGAAATTGGATGATTGCATTTATTCCATTGACCAAGCTCAAACTTGTAAAGAAATTTTTTGAACTGGGGAACGCAAAATCGAACTGGAATGGTCAACCGGACATGGGCCCAGAAGCTGTTTAATCGGCCTAATCGGTAAACTGACAGATTCAACCGCTCTAACTGGGCAAGTCCCAGACGGTCAAAAAATGTTGCAAAAAAAAAAATACAAAAAAAAAACTACTAAAATATGAAAATAAAAAATGATTAAAACAAAATATATTCAAATGAAGTTGAAAATTAATGAAAAAAATAGATTTTAATGAATCGATTTGTGCCTAAGGTTATTTTTAAAATTTTATGAAAAAGATGGAAAAATATAAAAATGAGTATTAATAACTATTTTTTAAAAATATTTACCATAATATAAAAAATATTAAAAATACATTACAAATGAAATTTCTTATTTTTTGAAATTTATATACATTTTTTTGATTTTTTTTTTAAATACCAGTTGTTCACCAAAACCGGAACCGGCCACTGGCCGGTTTCGATCTAACCGTACAATTAACAGTTAGATCACCCTGTTTGAGAACACTACATCAGATGGTGATAAGTAATTGTGACATCCTTGTATATAATCCCTAATAAAAAATCATATCATTCCCCAAGAAACCCATTTAAATATATATTTTTGTTTTTTTTTAACATAACTTGTCTAATAGAAGCTCGATCCAGCACTTTGGGATAAAAGGATTTCAATCCCAGACGTTTGTTAAATTTAGGGATCTCAAACTGCAAAATTGAGGATACAGC